CAGCAGTCCACAGTTGAATTTCTGATCTAGGAATGGAATCAAGCCAAAGCATCTAAATGTGTGAAAGAGCTTTCTCTTCTTTCTTTTCCTTCTGTTAGCATGGCAGTCGACCTTCGGACAACATATGAATCCTACTTTATTTAAACTACTAAAAATAAAAATGATTCTTCAGGTTTAAAATAATAGTATACATATATTTACATTTATTATTATTGCTATTATTATTATTATTTTGCTACATGGAAAAGATGCCACTGACAATAAAAGGGGAGTATATAGAAAGAGAATAAATAACTCTACTTAAAAAGATTTCATAAATTAAATGCAAGTTAATAGATGAAAGAACAGCCCATATTTTAATATTAATATCACTACTACTCTCATGTAAATTTTCCACCATGACTTAATTTTGTTTTATTACTTAGTGTTGTTTAACTTACTTTCTCTGTGTATTTTTGCCACTTACTCTGTATTAAAACCAGACCGGTAGATTAATATTTGCTGCCATAGTAAACATAAATAGTTTACACTCCAGCTATATAAGAGAGCGTTTAAGATGAAGTGGCAAAAATGGATAAGAGAAATGAGGGAATGAAGGAAGGAAGTGAGGAAGGGAGACATGAAAGAAGGAAGGAAGGGGAAGGAAGAGAGAAAGGAAGGAGGAAAAACAGTAGACAGAGAAGTATGGAGAAAAAGAGAATAGGAATGGAAAGAGAAAGGAAGGGAAGGGAATGAAGAAAAATTAGGGAAAGAGAGAAGAATGAAAGGAGAAAGTAAAGAGAGATTAAGGTAGCATTTCTACATTTTTTTTTTTGAGCATACAGAACTTGGCCAAGCTGACTTTCAACTTCTGCGTGGTTATGGTTAAAGATGCACTCCATTAAAGACTTTTAATAAGGAGGTTAAATATTTTAAATAGATTACAACACAAATTCAATCGATGGTGCAATGCCTAAAGTAGAAAGATTCTAATTTGGAAACAAATTGCGTGCATGCCCACAGCACACATGCTTTATTAGCTTGTTGAAAGTTGTTTTCTTTTTTGAACTCTTCAAATATTTAAAACAATATTAACTAAGAATAGTAAAAATTGAGTATAGTACAGAAGTCCCAAATCTATAACTTGTTATTCATAACTTTTATTTTCTCAAGTACCCTATGTATAATATTAAATTCTATTCTCAAACATTCAAACATCGTCGTTTTTAACTCTTCCTTTCTTACAGACACTTCCTTAATTTCAACTAATAAATCATGTTTATTCAAGTAGTGTTAATGAAGTATTTTAAGTTATCTCTCTTGGAAAAAATATATCTAAGATAGTCTATATATGTAAATTACCTCAAAGAGTCACTTGAAAGTCTTTATTTAGTTTGTCATATGTAGGTTATTTTATTATAACTTATTTCATGACCCGAATTATCTGAATACTCATGAATACAGACAAATTATAACAAGGCAAAGGAAATAAATACATTAAGTTATATCAGCAAACATATTTACCTGTGGGAATGAAGAGTAAGTTACTACTCAAACTTCCAAAAAATCATTTTGTCTTGAAATGTCTGAAGCCATTGATGATTTTGGAATTTATTGTCAGACTTTTTTGGGTTTTGAGGAAATATACCATCAATTCAATATTATTTCTAAAGGAAATTTCATATTTGTCAACTGTAGAATGTGATACTATTCCTTAGCAACCTGATATAAAGAAAGCCCTGGAATAGGACTGTCTCTATTAGAAATAATTGGATGTATACAAATTCAGCATTGCAAATGAAGCCTCTAACTTTTTAATCTTGCTGAATATAACTTTTTAAAAAGTGTATTTCACACTCTGTGTAACAGCATAGCTGAAAGTTTCCTGAAGTGTTAAAGAAATGTTGGCTAAACGTTTTATCATGATGGCCAAAGGCAATAACATTGTGTCTGACACCTGACCCATTTCTCTCACTTCATAAACTTCAAATAAATCAGCAGACAATATGGTTTCTATTTTTCCTAGTTATTTGGAGTACATAATGAATGACAGTTTACCTTTTCTTTTGTTGTCTAGCTTTACAAGATATATAACATAACAATATTTAGTACGGGTACTCTTACCCTAAATTTTACCAGACCAGTTACTTTAATAAAACCTTCATACTTTGTTTTGGCATGTATCTGTAGGTGGCATTTCTGATCTCCTTTTCCCTCCTAGATGACAGCTAGACAATACATCTTATCTTTACTTCTTTTTCTTCTCCTGAGCATATACTGTATCTTACAGGAGTTCTGGCAGGTTTATTTACATTTTTCCATTAGAGCAATGTTTAATCAAAAATAAATCTTTGCTATTTAAAAATTTTACTCTACTTAGAAAATATACTTGTTATTTAAATATATCACAGTTTGCATTGGAAAGAAAAAGTAATACTTCAGGTTAGACTTTAAACATAATGCATTATCAATGAATTTCAGCCCAGAAAGAATTAGCCTTCTGGGTGCACAGCTTCTCAGTCTTGGCTCCCAGCCAGGGCTGATATTCTAGCTTTATTTTATGTTTCCCCAGCTGCTTTCTAAATCTGGGGAGGCAGCACCAGCCAGAATCTTCTAGTTTGAACACAGTATGCTAAATGCTTTTCTGTTCTTTCTTACTAAATGATGCACAGCAAGTTTGATCTTTGGATTTTATTTTCAAAGGCCCCTTTTCCGCTCAAACAAAAAGTGTAATGGGATCATTTAAACATTAGACTTATTAGGATAACTATTATAATGTGTTAGAACATTTATTTAGCATCTTTATGAACTAATGCTAGTATTCTGATTTAACAAAGATGCAGTTTATTTTAAATCTTATTGCAGAAATTTTATGAGAAGAAGAAAGAATAAATATAGCAGTTTTAATACTCAAATAAAATACAAAAGATTGTTTTTTTTCCCCTGAGGTGAACATAAATATGAGCATGTATTTCCATTTTGATGATCAAATATAAAAATTCAAAATTAAAATTTAATGATTTTTATATAAAATAGTCCCCATTTATTTCCTTTTGGAATTTAGGGCAAGACATTTGAAAGAACAGGTTTCATAGTTAATAATTTTATCTTGCAGAAAACAAAAAGTGCAATTTATGTACATTTGCATTTTATTTATTATTTATATCCATTTTAATTAATTTATTAAAAGAAAAACAAGTATTACAATTCTCATGAGATTTTACTTTTATTTAAAAATGATGCCTCAGATTCTAAATTGCATCTATATTTTCCCTTTAATGATGATTTTCATGTTATAGTTAATGTCACACACATAATGTTTTCAAAAGGTTTTTATGCATCAATTTTAGTAGTGGCCAGCTACCATTCTGACAGAGTTACGAAAAGACCATTCTGCTTAGTGTTCAATTTCCAAAAACCTTCCCAATGAGCTTATAATGATATATCTATCAATGAAAATGCTATATAATATTGGTCATCATAAGGTATGTATTCACAGGATTTCTTATTTTAAAAAAATGTCAATCCTGGTGGGTTTAACTTCTCATTTATGCATTGAAATATATGTAAATGACAAGTAGATTTTGCTCAATAATCACTTATCTTTTTACGAATTCCAGTTAAAGTCTTAGACTGTTCTAGTTAGTGGACTTTATATTCTCAACATACACTTGCTTCATAAAACAATCATGACCAACGTAGCACCTACATGGCATCTGGATATAGCTAATTGGCATACCATTAATAGAACAGATTAAATTATTCTTTTGATATGAAAAAAATCCTTTTAAACTCTTGTGCAGAAAAATCATTGCCTCCCAGTTTGGGGAAAATTCAACCAATTACAGTAACTTTGTCTTCATCAATTTCCTCTTGGGGCAAGAAACTTACAGGATTTAACTATGAACTACGTGAGAAAGAGGATATCTAAAATCATTCTAAAAGTTCCAGAAAATTTTAGTAACTTGATATGGAATTTACATTAAAATATTTGCGATCTTGAGCTAATGAAAAAATCTGATCAAAGGCACTATGAAAGCAAGCAAAGGTGAGTTTGAAAAAGACACGATAAAGCCACATTGTTGAAACTTTTTCAAAGCTGTATGAGAATTTGCAGCATAACCTATCATAATAAGCAAAGTATATCATCACTTAAAAATATTATAAAAGTCACTGAAAAATATAGCACTTTATTAATCAGAACAAATTACAAGGAAAGTAAGGCTTAAGTTTCCTTTTTATTTACCTACTTCTAACAGAGACATTGAAAAGAATGAGTAGACCCATATTTAAATAACATTTTTTTGTTTTCCAACTTATTCTGTGTATGAGGAAATTGGAGGTATTTATAGATATATTATAAAGCTATTTCTGTCTTTCTGGGAACCTATGTTTATGACTATGACATACATTGTTCTAAGAATTTATTTTTCTTTTCTAATAGGAGCTAGGAGCAAAACATCTATTTCTTTATAAGCAATTTATGACTGTATCATACAATTTCAAATGTCTGTGACAGCTGTTTCTCTAAAACAGACCATTAGAACAGAGCATGCCTATAAATCTCAGGTCCCAAGGAGAGGAGTTCCCATCTTCGGCAATTTGAATGCCATTTTTTTCAGTAACACTTCTTGGAAAATCATTTATAACCCTTCAGTTAGTTTTGGATTCTAAGTTTGTAAAATTGATTATTTCAATATGAAAAAGCTAAAATTGTTATCAAGGAAGATGTTTTCTATGCAAATGTTCTGGCAGCTGTTTAATATATCAAGCTGTATCTTTTTTTTAAAGACAGGAATGTATTTGTATTTATTGTGCAAATATAACTTCTACAGAGCATAATGATAGGTAAGCATACATAGGATGAAAAGGGAGATTGAACTTGGTTTAAAAACATTATCTCCTCCTACATAATCTTTCACAAATAAAACTTTATTGTGTTCAACTTGTTTACATAGCTAAGCAACACATATCCATTTATTGTACACGCCTCGGTTTCAGCAAATGAAGCAGTAACTTACCTAGAGAAGCATTTCAATAATTTTTTTTTCTTTTCCTAACTTGAATTTATCCCGAGTTAGCAAATGAGATATCCAGTGTTCAGGTTCACTTGGCTCCAGGTTAATTAGAAGGAGCTTTCAGTTCATGCAATCTGCCTCAACAATATTCCAACAGCACTCTCTAGCTCCATTCCTAGTATCTGAACTCTTCCAGCGGAGTCTTTTTATTTAGACACATTGTCCTTTTCAAAACAAGCAGCCAGCTGGAATGATTCAAACCTCTGTTCAGCACACCGTTAAAATGCAGCTTCCTTCTTGGACGCGAGAATTACACCAGGGAGCAGACCGAGTACAGCAAAAAGGCTATGAGAACTATTTAATCACCGGAATACCAGCTGCTCCTGCTCTGCTGTTGCTACTGCTGCGGTGCCTCTTGTTTAGCTGTAGTCGGTCTTTCCCTCCCTCCTTCTCATATCTCCAGAACTATAAAGGCAGCTTTGCCGGATTATGATTGGCAGAAACGGCCAATTCCTTCAGCTAATCATCCTCAAGACTTTCAAGGACCAGGAGCTGTTGTGATGTCATCCAGTCAGTGGGATGTTACACATGAATACATTCCAACAGAAGCTAATTCAGCGATGAGCTGCATTCCTCTCACACCGCGGTGATTGATTAGATGCTCCTTAAGGATTTGCATAATCTTTCATTGTGCATTTGGACAATTTCCTATAAAATTTGAGAAGAGAATTCCACTTTGCAGCTATGACACTGTGCCACAAGAATAAGAAAAGTTCAAGGCAGGATTTTCAGCTGTAAATGTGTGCCCGTTAAACACACAGATTACAAACTCAACAAACGCCAACAAGAAACAATAGGAAACTCAGACAAGTATTAGTGAGCTACATACTTCTGAAATTAACCATTGTGTTTTAGATCATAGCAAATGTTAGAAGAAAAGAAAGTGTGTGTGCGTGTGTGTTTATTGTGTGCGTTGTTTTATTAATTGAGGTAAATTATTAAATTATCATGAAAAAGCTGTTTTCTATTCCCAGCACTGACAAAAGTTGTCTTCATGTCTCATTTTTAAATTGGCAGTTCAAGATGAAGACTACCTGTTCTTTGTTTTCTGCTAACTCGTGCAAATGCATAGATTCTATAAAGTACTTTTTAAATACTTTATGTAAAAGTTCTTTGAAGTTCTTCATTAGGATATAAGCAAGATAAAAGTGTTTTCTATCGTAGTGATCTATCACAGAAACAAAGAATTGAGAACCACTTGTTCTCACTCGTGAGTGGATTCTGAACGTTTATCATAATACAAGAAGGGAATGGCAGTCGGGGGACATTGCCAGAGGAGGGAGGGGTGGGACACATAACATCAATAAGAGTGCCTGATTCCAAACCAGGCAAAGTGAGAATCAATGGGAGACCCAAATTTCGCCTGTACGATGACCATTTATATACCTAATCCTGAACTGTACCCAACATCTTTAAAAGACGAAAACAAAACAAACCTGTAAATTGTCTTCAAACCAGACTATATGATTCCTTGCGCTCTTCGTACTTTGGTACATTAATCTTCACCATTTAATTTAGTAAAACAAGATGTGCTAATAAGAATTTGGTCTAAGATGCTTTAGAGGCCAGAGAACAGAGATGCAAACTTCTCAGCTCCGCATACTCCTTTGATATATGGGTGTCTTGGTTTATAAAGAGTTCTGCTTGAAATACTGGGGTGGTTTCAGTGAAACTCTCTGTATAACTGGCGTTCCTCAAAACTCAGCATTTGTTGATGTGGTCTTTTAGAGGAATAACTTTAATGCACCCAGTATTACCAGTGATTACTAGTGTTATACTCCATGAGGTTTTGAGGGTCACCAAGCTGTAGAAATATGCTAGATAGAGGATAATTAGAAAATAAGAAAGAACATGTATCAGTTACTCATAAACCATAAATATTATTAGATACATCATAGGGCATGAGTCAATTAGTTTTTCAGGTGCACAGGCTAAACTATATATTAAAGGAAAATTTTATATTTTAAAAATCATCAAGGAAGTGGCCAGGTACTTCTTATTACTTTTAAAGAACATTTGGAATGCAAATATATATTGAAGATAAAGTCAGAATTGTCTTAATAATAAATACACAATAAAATTAAAAATGGATAAATTTCAGTTAAATCTTTCAACAAAGTCATAATAAAGTAATTATTACTGGAATAGTATCATGTCAACACTAACTGCTGATAGCTAAAATAGGATGCATTTTAAATTTAAAATCAGATTGGAGACTTTTCATTGTATGTGGTTTGGTTTATTAAAAATGCCTTTTTTTTGCTTAAGCTTAGTAATTATCCTTAAGTTTTACCTTTACAGAAATGATTTAAATTAATAAAAAATAAAATACTCAAGGTCTTTACCCTTTAACATAGTTCTATTTCAAATCTCAATCAAGAATACCAATTTATGAGAGTAATTTCAGCTATTGGAATTAAGTGACAACACAGGAATCTGATTACAAAACCAACACATTAAAACATGGAGCAGGACTGTTGACTCAGCACTGATAACTATAGTTATTTTTTTGATTACAAGTGGAAATTGTTTTTTTTCTCTAGCATTAGACTATAAACAAAGTTTTTAGCTGAAATAACAAGTATTTTGATAATACTAATGAAGGACATTATTATTAAAAATAAGATTATTTTAAATATCTGTTAAACATAAACTTTTAGAAGCAAAAAAATACAGAAATAAAGAATTGAAATTTAATGTAAGGAAAAAGAAAAACGATTTGATTCTCCTCCCATTGTTCTTTCAAAATTAAGTTAAATATTGAGGACATAGTGTCCTACCTTGTACATATGTATGAATGAATAGAAAATAACCAAAAAGTGCTTTCTTTTTTGTTCCTGGTGAAAGTTGGAGGAATGCACAAGATCCAGACTAAAACAATGGAAACAAAATAATTCCCGAAGTCCTTTTTTTTACTAATTTCATTTGTATATTTTATTTTCCAATAATTAAAGAAATGATTATCTTTTCTCATTTTCTAATCCGTCATGTTTGGGAGATGAAGTGAATGATTTTGGGATTTCTGGGAGGGAATATGAAATGCAAGAGAGAACACAGGGAATAATTATTTGCTCAAAGTGTTTTTTTGTTTTGTTTTGTTTTAATCACTTACCCTGTGCACCACAATTTATAGGCCTTGCATACAGGTCAGATGTAGCATCTATACCGTTCATTTTTAATAATATGCATTATGCAAAGTATTTGCCCACTGTTTATAGTTAAATTAAGAGAAGAAAGTCCATGGAGTGTAAAATATTTTTTCCTTTATCTATTTAGATGTAAGTCTGGACTTAAACAAAGACCTCAATGGATCTTTTAAACATTGAAATGAACTTGTTGAACAAATAAACTTTTGAAGTTTTACATATTTTTATTCAATTGCTCCTGTTTCAGCAAATGTTAGAGGAGCATTTGTCTGCTACAAAATCTTTCTGTTCAAATGAATTTATCCTAGAAAGTACCCTTAAACTTTCAGTGGATATACTTTGGAAGCTCAAAAACAAAAATGTATGTGTCATATGCATTGTTTTGAAATTTTTAATAATTTGGTTTATATGTATAATTTGGTTTATATTTAGAGAATCAGAAGAATGGGATTCTAATGTCTATATACCCCTTTAGGTGAAAAGTAAAAAGCATTGAAAATATGCTATAATACACACATATATAAATTATTAAAATATTATGTTTTACACTTAATGATATACTTTATAATACATAATATATTTTTGTATATGTTTAATGAATAGAAGAAACAAAAATAAAACCAAATATTCATTAAAAAGGAAGTCGATTTTTGTGTCAATTCTCTGTTACCGTGGAAATGAAAAGACCGTCAGAGCAACTAATAAATCATTACAAGACTTCAGAAAAATTCAGTAAATTTAATTATTTCAAAAATTCCTCATTTTCTTTATCATTAATTGTTATTAAAGGTAAGTTTTAAATGCTTGCATCTAAAATAGAAATTTACATAGAAAATACCCCCAAATCCTTCCAAGTACCTCATAATTTTTAAAAAACTCTTCACGTGCATGTCCAGATTAGAAGCAGAAGATATGTACACCTTTAAATTTACTTTCTGGGCAACCCTCTCAGGTCCCCTCCTGCTCTGGGAGCTTTTCTGTCCTCTCAATAAAGCCTGCTTTTTCAAAAATAAACACATAAATAAATGAATTTACTTTTTTATTCTTTTCAAATTGTGTCTCTTTTTGTAAATGTTACTGAAAGAATAACAATTTTAAATGAATAGTTAGTTATATTTACAGTTCTTTTAATTTTGAATGAATACAACTAATTAAATTTACAGATTAAAACTTCTAAGGTTTGTGAATACAAAATTCTATTATCATGGTGCCACTTTTTGTCTGTTCTTGTTTCTTGCAGCGATTTTTTTTTTTGACATGAGAAACTTTTCTGTTGTCCCAACAGAAGAGGCTCTTAAGCTTTTTTAAAAGGAAAAACATGAATAAAAGAAACTTCTATGTTCCAAGTTTATGCCTTCAGAAAGTGGGGGAAGCCTTTAATTAGGCTGTGAGTGACTAATAAAAAAACTTTTTTTAATGAGAAAAAAATACTACCATAAATTATGCGAATATGAGCTTACTTGAAAAAAAAACAAAAACAAAGGATTGTCAATTTTGTTCATTGGTATTATAATATGCAGTAAGAAAAATAAGTGCCAGATGACATTACTTGCATCACAGGTAACCCAGTTACAGACTCAAATGTTATCTTATTACACATCTGGATCTTTTGTTAACAAAGTTATTGAGGGAAGGAAAAAAAATGGGAAGAACATGTTAGAAGAATGAATCTTCTTGCCAGTATCACTGTAGCGCATTGTTTCAGCAAGAGAGAAATCAGCATGTTAATGCTTCAAATAAATCCTTTGAAGATGTAAAACTTGAAAGGTCAAGTGAGGGAACAAACCGACTAACCAGTCCAATTTCAGTTTGGCTGACAACTGCTTAAAGGAACTTGATTTTTAATAAATAGCAGCTGTTGGCCAAAGCGCCTTTGAGTCACAACATTTTTTGCTGTATTCTGAGAGGGTAGCACTCAAGTGAGACCTTGAGTGAGGTGAGGGAGGACACTAGAAATAAAATTTATGATTATTTCATGCTCTGATCTTTGCTATGAGAATTTTCAGTGAGTTTCTCTTTCTGAGGATACTCAAAGATGATGAGAGTTCATAAAGTAATTAATTAGGCTACAACTCCAGTGGGAGTGTCTCATCAGAAAAGAATCTTTAAATACAGTGAGGTGTTTGTGTGGTTTACCTACGCAGTTTTACTTTGTTTCTGTCTTTTTTCCTCTTTTCTTTGTAATTTGCATTTGCCAAAATTTTATTATGATTAAATGACAATTTCTTTGAGTTAGGTCTTACAAGTCAAATAATTTCATAGTCTCTAATTTAAAGTCTTAAAACCTAAGTGTTCAAAGTGAGAAACTCACTTGCAGGTCAGAAATCTAGCAAAACGGTGATAAATTTGGTAAAACCCTTTCTGTCATATTGGATATTTTGTTTCATCTATGAGGGAATTCCTTTTATCTTAGGTATCTCACTATCATTTGTTTTCTGTCTGTTCCAGTCCTTTGGGGAAAGACATTTCATTTATGAGCTACTCGGCTAATGCTCTGATCAGCTTGGGAAATCATAATTTTTTACCAAGGCTTAGTAAATAGTTTCTGTCC